GACTCTTAAACACCTGAAGATCTGATATTAAAATTGTGGAGCCTGTAAGTTAAATTGTCCAAAATATTTTTTTCCTCAAGGAGCGCTTCCTGAACAATATTTTTTTTTCTATGAATTTGTACAGTTTCTGGATTTGAAGAAATGTTTATTTGGTTCTAGACATAACAGGTTATAGCCTCAAATTTCAATTCTCAGCAAGAAAATTGCCTGATGAAACCTTCCTGTGCTCTCCTACTTGATTCCACCAGAAATACAATATTCACAAAAGCTGAAAAGCAGCTTTATTCTTGACTCTTTATTTACTTTTGCTATTTTTCTCCTATATTTGAAGAGTAGAAAGCAAAGGAATATATACATATCATTATAACTCTGTGATGTTTCCAAATACAGTTTAAATGCTTTACCATATATTTACATCCCATTATTATTTTTTATAAAAGTTTCCCTTTTTTTCTAACAGCTACTGTTGTCATATTCTCAAATGTTAATTAAGAGAGGAAAGCATTTTAACTGTAGTTTCTGTCATGGAAGTGAACTAATTGAATGATATTTAAAATACTGATAATGAACAGTCATTTCCATTCTACACATGTGAAGCTAATATTTAAAAAGCATACATCATAATACTGAGAAGTTGCTACCTGCCCATTATAAACACAGAATAATATATTATTTTGGAGAAGGAATGCACAAAATGTTGGTAACAGCTTCAGCATCAGATATTTCATATTTACTCTTACTCACCTATATATGCTTTAAAAGGTCTGAGTAAGCTATATATAGATTTAGTCCAAAATATAAAATAACAGCTTTTCAGCATCTCTGGCATGAATTCTGACTCTTTCAGATTTATGCTTTTTAATTAGTGTCTGATTTTGTCTCCTGACACTGTGGATAGAATCATGGGCCTAATAATATAATTCACAAAACTCTCACAGGATTTCAGTGAATCTCAGTATATTAATTGTCAATCTGTTCATCACCCCCATAAAAAAAAAAAAGAAAAATTACTATTCTATGCATTTGATATGACTAACTGTGTCTCAACCCATCAGGATATCTCAACCTGCCAGTAATCTCACCTTTGATAGGAGTCATTCCCAGGCAATGCAGCCACATGAAGGCTATGGATTGCTGTGAAATTATGAAGCTGCTTAGCGGTGCCTCCTCATGTGCACACTCTTGTCCAGAGCAACTCAAGTGGTGCAAGATAACTCACCCTAAGTGAAAGCAAAGGTAAGACACCTTGTTTAGGGCCATGAAAGAATGACTTGTGGAGAGAAGATAAAAACTGGACTAACTGACATTATCCTAGACAAAAGAATAGAAGAAAGGTCTGTGAATTCACCATGCTGTTTGTTGGCAGAGGCAATGCACAGTGCTGGTTTTTGTTTTTTTTTTTTTTTTTTTTTTTTTTTGTTTGTTTGTTTGTTTGTTTGTTTGTTTGGGTTTTGTTGGGTTTTTTTTTGGGTAGCAAATTCACATGAGGTAGGCAGGGGAAATTGGTCCTTATATAGCATCACTGTTTACAATCAGAGTTGTGACTCTTCACGCCTAACAACTTGAGTTGTGTTTTCAAGAAACAAATTAGTTCATTCCTGGCTGTATAAGACAGCTGTGATGATATGATCTTGCATCAGACAGGACAATATTATGAACTGCTTAACACAGACATCTTTATCTTTTGTGATTTTAAAATAACAAAGGGAATCTTCCTCCTTCCTCCCATGGAAGCTGAAGGACATCTGGTAATCTTTCCAGAGATGAAATACTATTTTACATGCACCATTTCCCTGCTTCTGTTTAGCTAGGGAACATTGTTCTATTTTCCTTAACATGTCTGTGGGGAGATAAAAGAAGTTTGTGATGTTAGGACATTATATGCCAGTTATTCAGACTATAAATGGCAATGTTAACATGAGAGTATTTTGAAAGTTACAGGTTACGGATACCACAGAAATGATGTGGCCATCTAGCTAAACTGTGAAACCAGAGTGATCGTAGCAGCAGAATGACATTTTTAAAAGCTCTCATTTTACACTTTGACCATGGAAGACTGACAGCTCTGCAATGATCACTGAAAGAGTGTGCTTCCAAATATATTCAAGCAAATATCATGACCTACACATACTCACAAGAAGGTCTCAAGTACAGCTGCTTACTGAATGGCTTGTGTGCTTCTTTCTAATGCAGTGATGGAAACAACAATAACAGGTCTACAGATAGGGATGAAGGTGACTGAAGAGGATTCAAAAAACATCAAAGGACACTACAACCCACTCCAGGCTGCTGACAGGAGCAGTGCAGTGCACGAGATGCGGATCATGTGATGTGTTGAGTCACAGGTTAGTTAAGCAGTCATTTCCTCATCCACCATTGCACAACCCATACTAACCTATACTGCAATTGCATCCACTCTTGATTATACTACCCACCGCTCTGCAAAAGGAATGAAAAATGACACAATATTTGAAAAGATATACTTCTACCAGAGGTTTCTAAAATGTTTCCTTCTCCTTCCTGTAAGCACTTGGGTACAATCTGTAGAAAAGCATTATTACTTCTAGCCACGCATTCTCCTCTCATACCCTGTGTGGGACTTAAGAGGCAACTGGAATGAAATGCATCATTTTAGGACAGAAAAGATTTTTTTCACTTTACACCTATCAGACACTGCTATAGTATTATTAAAAGTAGATTGTCTCTAGTTTCTCATTTGATAGTTGTGTCTTTGTTGACCCCAGACAAAACATTTTAGGATGCTGGCATACATTTACTTCACGATCTAGCATTTCCTAGATTGTCTCTTTCACGCACATGTGTATTAACACAAGGTATATATAGCACTCACAACACAATTACTGTGATGAAGATCTTTCCAGACTTTTGGCAGGAAGTTGCAGGGGAAGGGAAGTTGGTTCTACACTCTGTGCAGAAAGGTGTCTCTACTCTCTTAAAAGGCGTCTGAAAATCAGTGTATCATTTTCCAAGTAAGAACAAAAGAAAATGACAATTTAAGATGTCTGTGAGTGAAAATTATGTCTTTTATATAGTTGTAATCTTGACATGCCAAGGCAGCAAGGGAATTAAGTGTGTAAATTATATCATATCTACCTCACCACCATTTCAGTCCAAAAATTGCAGACAAAATCAGGAGGCAGCTTTTCAAAACTGAGCTGACAAGCTGAAGTAAAAATGTTTGTAAACACACCCTATTTTTCTTGCATAGTAGGTAACTGTCTTGAACCTTCTTCCTAAGCTGTTCTAATAAAGAATGAATACTGACACAAATTTGGCAAACCAGACTGTGAGATGAACTCTCCCAGAGCAACTGACCTTTCCAGACAGCCAGAGAGCTGGAGGATGAGTAGTTATGAAGCCCCTTCACATCTGCCGCATTAATGTGATTTTTACAGAAAAGCCTGCATTAGAGAATGATACAAAGTGATTATGTGTCTTACCAGCTGGAATTTGAGCCTGACTAGATATTTGGGCTGGGTTCTAAAATACCAGTTTTCTAAGGTTTTTTGTTACTGTTTTTGCTAGACAGCACCAACTGTTTAAGATACATATACATATCAAACACACATATATATATGTTTTAGCATTTGCACTATATTTAGAGGCTAAATACAATCATGAAATGCTTAGCTGTACCTCTTTTATTGACACTGCCTTCCTCTTCTATGACTAGTTTCCTCTAAGGAAAATATGACGTGTTGGATGATCTCCCATCTTCTGTTTAGAGAGGAAGTATAGAGGCTAACCAACATTTGTTTTTTTTGCTAATCTTTAGTTACTGAAGAACACCTGCAGCCTAACTGTTAGCTTGTTCTGCTGCTCAAGGTCTATAAGTACCAAAATGCACTGTTCAACAAGGGAAAAAATTGACATTCTATCACCTGGGAATAAAATAATTTCTAATTTAGATGTAGCTGTATAAAGGATACACACAAAGCAGAATAATTCAAAAGAAAGAGAAGTAACAATTTAGAATCATAAACAGAAAGCCTACTTTGTAGCCCAGGAAGACAAAAAAAGTGTGAAACAATGAAAGGACTTTACCTTCTACTTTCATTACAGTCACAGCAACAGTAATATTACTGCTGCAGTGTGCAATAAGAAAGTAGGAGGGAACAAAATCTCCCTCCCACTTTGTGTTTCACCACATCATCCTATCTAATTATCTTTCTGATATAATGAGGTGTCTTTCGTATAATCAAATTGCAAATAAATACAGGGAACAAACCAAGATACCTAGGAATTCCCAGAACACCTCCACAAATGTTTCCACACCACAGAGAAAGAAATATTCCCTGTTCAAGATTTCTGATAGATGTGGGACTGTGGAGTTACCAGTAATACAAAATAATACATATTGATATGTGTTTCACAGCAGCTGTTGACATTTCAAAACAGTAATGTGCCTGGACTGCACATTTACATCATCTCAATTTCATACTTGTTGAGGTCATCTTTAATTCTCATGCCTTATCAACATCATAACATCCAACATCAGCCACAGATTGGTTTTCATACCTTACAATCTACAGACAGGCAACCTCCATGATTTTTTTCTTCTTGGTCTCATGTTATGAATTCATTTCATCACTGTTTTTATTTTTGTTTGTTTGGTTTTTTTTGTGACAGTCTGAATCATACATTATACATGTAACGCAGTACATTATTGTAGAATATCAACACCTGAATGAAACTCTAGGAAAATCAGGATTAGGATCAGGATTAGATCAAAACTAGAAGAAGCAAAAGCGAATCAACAGCTCTAAAGACTCAAAAATGCTTTTTGAACTCTAAAAGTTTACACTACGTCCTAGTCATAGGTGGTTTTGGTTAAGAGCAAAACAATTGCTTGCTGTATATTACAGTTCTGATTGTTTTCCTTTCTTATTTTGCCATATTAATACACTGATAATGTTGTATGAACATTCTTTCTGCTATTTCTCTACGTCTATATTAAACTATGCATTTCTTCTTTCTAGGCACTGTGCTGAAGACATTTTGCTACTCTCAAATATGGGAAGGGAGTAATGGGAAAGTCCCATCAGAGGGAGGTGAAAGACTTTCATCAGAGAAAGGAATGAAGGCCTGTGTTCAGAAAGACACGTGAGATGAAAACAGGACTTCACAAGAAAGTTGGTGACATTTTCACTATTAGACAACACAGAGAAAGAGTGGAAAAAATGTCAGAGTGATGTCATTTGCATGGATGGAGCTCATCAGTCAGCTGGTGTGCAGAGGCTGACTAGAGAAAGATCTGACTGTGGACAGAGGAAAAAATGTAACTTGGCTCAAGGCCCTGTCTTTCAGAGGTAAGTTTAATGGTAAATTTGAAGTCTTTCATAAAACTGACATGTCTGAAAGTGACTGAGCAAATATGAATTGGTAAGATTTTTTCTTATTCCTGTCTCTCTGCTATTATCTCATTGCATGACCCCAAGCAATTCTGTAATCTATTGGTGCCTCAAGTTGCCTGCTCTGAAAAGGTAGACTGAGGATGTTGGCCTTATCTGAGGGGATTTCATAAAGCCTTTCAGAAAGGCTTCTGGCTGAAATACATTGCCTAGACTGTTTCTACAGACAAAAAAAAAAAACACAAACAAAACCAAACAAACAAAAAAAACCCACAAGCAAACAAAACCAAAAACCAAACCACCACCAAAAAAAAAAACAACCAAACCCAAAACCAAAAACAAAACAAGAACTTGCAAATGGTGTTACATCCTATCCAAAGAGATGTGTAAAATATTAAAATATTGAAGTGCTCTGTTTCTCTTCAAAAGCCTTGTCTCTGTCTCTCCAGTGACTACAGAGGAAGTCTTGATGACCAGTTTAAAGCAGACACCTATAATAGCGGACTGTGTGTCTCATTTGTCAGGAACTGAATTTAAGAAATCCCTTAATTACTACATTCCTATGTAATATTTGTGTGCCAGTAGTTCTATACATGTAGACTTACTGCACCAATAAACTATGCATGTATAGATAAAATGTCCTCTTATCTTTAATCTTGAATCTTGACAGCATTGAGGGACTAAAAATAAACCCTCAAGCTGATCTCTCTCTGTTTCAGTCCTGTCCTGAGCAGGATCTGGTTTGCTTTTATTCATTGACTGTGATCTCATATGATTTAGGTGCCTGCTAGTCACAACCACTATGTTCTCCCTCAGAAACAGCTCCTCTGCTGACCTCTACAACTGTGTCACACTTCATGCCACTTCCTTACAGGAGTCCAGGGTACTGCAAGGGAAAAACATGCATTTTGAAACCCCCAGTGGCAAGAACTGAGCCCACTGTTCTGGCCACACAACTACAGAAGATTCAGTACAGTGTTCAAAATGTGAGCTTGATCTTGAATTCTTTACTTGGGTGATGCTACCACTAAATCAGTAGAAATTTTTTTTAAATAAAAATACAGATCCAGGTTTTTAGGTGGTGAATTTATTTTTGTAAACACCAAGATTATATAAATATATATATAAGAATATATATACATACATGCATTTTTTTGAGTAGATAGAAATTGTCAGAGATAGGAGTGAGAATTAATCATGTAACTCCCACTGACTCAGTACAAACCTCCTTGTTCTTTTAAAAACCTGCCCCGTCATCTACATCTTTTGCTGACTTGGTAGAGCTGTGGCAAAGAAGACATTTCACTAATGACAGCTCTTGGTTTATATTTTGCCGGGCTAAAACAAAAAACAAAACAAAACAACAAAAAAAGAAAACAAAGCCTCAAGGAAACAATGAGAAAGAAATAGAGGGTGCAGACAAACAGGCAGTAAGCAGCATACTTAAGGTATCTCACAAGGGAAGGAAGAACAAATGTGCCAGCTGTTCCAGAGAAAATATAATCTTTAATGTTCCCTTTATACATTTAGTTAATTCAAATGATACTTCTTTTACACTAAATCCAATGTTTATTTTTTAATATGTTACTTGTATAGCCATCGTTTGTGTAGGCAGATGCAGTTATCTGCTCATTTTGCTGAAATGCAACAGGCTATTTATTCTGTAATAAGTAACTTTCTCAAGTTTTGTGAGTTATGATATTAAGCTGCAGAAGACTGATCTTTAAATCCATAATATCAAATATTCGTTCACTGATTGCATTGCTAAAGGTTTTGTTTGGCCTACAGTAACCTGCAAAGCTGCAGAGACCACACGGTTAAAAAGGGCACTGTCCTAACAGGTGACTCTTTTACCAAAACTTTTCTGCAATACATATAGGACTGGGCATGGTTTGTCCAAATTATAGTGACTTTGCAGCCCTACTGACTCTGATAGAGGATACTTCAGGATTTTCACACGGGTAAGTGGCAGCCAAGTCACTCTGCTTTGAGAGAAGGGTAAGAACTTTGCACCATTGCAGTTGATAGGCTTTAGTATCCCAACAGCTCATTTTGCACCAACTATGGTACATTACACTGCATAGTTCAGGTCTACCTAAATCTGTAGTGTGCATCTACATAGGTAAACCAAGAGGGGAAGAGCACTACATCTGCAGACTGTACTTGCCAGATTTCAAGTCCTACACTCTGATGTGTGACTGGTTTAGAGCTTTTATTTTTAAAGTTTCCTGAAATAAAATAACACCACAGTATAGTGTTTTTTGGTTTTTTTTCCCATTAGCTTTATTCCTGTAGAAGATTAAACTTTCTTGCTTATTTTCTCCCCTCTCCCACAAAAATAGAAAGGAAATAAATGTTCCAAAGTCGTTATCCAGCATGAAAAAAATCTGCAAAGAGAGTGTGAAGTTAAAGACCTGTAAACTGTGCCTACTACCTACAACTGAGAAATAAAGCCCAACTGAATTGCACTCCAAGTAAATGTATTCTGCATTATTTGGTGTACTCTCTTTTTATGTCTGTCCACTCTTTTCTAATAAAAAAGCCTTACAATATCCTATATGCCATTCTGAGATGATATCTTTGTGGTATTTGTGTCAGTCACATACTGTGAATATTACCTCTTCAAACAGGTAATCAACATTCTCTTGATTTTCTCAGGAAGTCCTCTTGCTTTTCCTAAAATAAACACATTGATAGAGCAAAGGCAGAGCACTTATTTTATTTCAGAACTGACGTTATCATGTGTATGGTAATGAGGATTAGTCAGTTCTAGTTCCTCATATTTAATCTACTAGTTTTCCTTATCCCTTGGACAGGCTTGCTCTTGATTTTTCAAGCCTGTGATGTTTTGCTTCAGTAAACTCCAGTGCAGACAACCTGACAAGGTGCTACCCAGAGGTATTAATTTCTGTGTTGCTAGGGAAACTGTATGTACATGAAAAAGGAAGCAAACATTTTAAATGATCCAGAACTCAAATTTAAGACCCTTAGCAATTTTTTCAGGTTTCGTGTAGTGGCATTTTAAAGGTACTAAAACAAGAACACTTATGACATTTGGCTGAATATTCTGTATCCTTCAAGTCACCTTCTAGTCACAGTTTTAACTGCAAACCACAGAAATATGCACTATACTTTTCAATATCTATCACCCTGTAGCCATTGTTGTATGTTCTCGATTGTTGCAGATGATTGTGAGGAGGAAATTAAGATGCTCCACACAACTGCTTCATGGTAGCAAAGAAATCTGGTGAATTTCAATGACTGGCACAAGACTGCATTGCCAATGCCATTGTCCCACAGTACCTTTGTAAGGGACAAGTTTAAATAAGCCCTAACACTTTTGAAACACTATTCAATTTGCACAAGTAAATTGCTTTCCATTTTGCACACTGGTCTGACAGATTTCACAGATTTCATTGTAATTCACTAAATGTTGAAGAAGAGAGATCCTTGATAAAAT